CAGGGTCTCCTCCTGCCTTCCCGGCTTCCCTCGCTGAGCTTGCAAAAGTTAGAGTCTTCTGCACCAGAACATTTCCAGTGCCTTTTCTTGCTGGCATCGCTGGATGACAGCAGAAGAATTGAAATGAAAGTCACCAACCTATTCAAATCTATTCCAGGTCAAATGAGGGGTGAATACTTTTCCTAATGTATTTCACAGGGAGCATTTCAGTTTCTGAAGCTTTCTTGAACTTAGATTCTATAACTATGGGGGGTTCCGTTTTAAAACCTGAAAGTTTAGTAGTGAGATGGTGTTTCTTGGGGAGGGGGGTCTTAGTTTAGTAGGCTTTTTTTTAAACAAACAAAAAAAACCAAACCCACAAAACCAACAAACCCAAAAAACCCCCCAAAACCCAGCCCTACTTCAAAAGCTAATTGCTTCTCTCATTTAATCCAAACTTCCACTGCAATCTAAGGCATTTAACAATGAGTCGTAACAGCACACCCCTAAGAGACATTAGTTTTATTCTCCCAGTAACACAAAGTTTTTCAGTTAACTAATACTCAAGCAGTAGCATCACCTAGAGAAATATAGCTGGTTTTAAATAGAAAATTAAATTTTATTTTAGAAATAATAATCATATCTCATCAGCAGCATTTTTTTGAAACCAAGAAGGTTCTATTCAAACAGACTATATGTAAGTCCCCGCATAAGTTTTCATTTCATTTTTCTCTCTCAAGCTACATAATAGCTTGGCCAGTTTACAACTGAACTCAGTTCTTGTTCTTACAATGAACAAGCAGCACTGTGTCTTTACATTTCAGACATTAGCATCCTTCATCTGACCTTGTCAAACAGACAATCATCTAGTAACTACTGTCACACCTTTGAATAGATAAAATTGGCAACAGAGCAGAAATGTGATATTTAGAAACTCGATCCAGGGTTTCTCTTTTTAGACCTTCATCTGGATGGCATTCCTACTACAGCCTATAAGTCTGCAGAATTTTCTGTGAGTCAGTTCTGTGCTAACCACAAGGCTGAGAGAGCATCAGCCAGTCAAAAATAAAACTTAAATCATTCTTTATCCTCTTTAGTGAACAACTGCTTTTTCTCAGAACAGATATATGCAAAGAGTAATGTACTAAAGATGTATCTACCCAGGATAATATACAGTTACACCATCTATCGGTTACAGCACGGCTTTATTCGTACACGACTGAGACCTGTCAATTCAAAAACGATAATTTTTGTAGATTTTACATAAGTTTAATACAGGTACCTACTAACAGCTTATATACTTAAAAAGTTAAACATTCCATTCACTCAAAGTTTGGTATATTTTTAATAATAATTTTCTTACGCAGAAAAGAAGCAAGAAAAAAAACTGAATGTGCAATTTTCATTGTGAAGTCTTTTCTCTCTCTCTTCATACCCTCAACCTTCATATGCATTTGATCTTTAACTCAGCATACCAGTGCTGTGACAGTTCATGCCAACTTTAGCAAGACATTATAAATCATAACTGTTACATCAGCCATGAAGTATCTAGGATACCTCCTTCACTGAGAGTTATCTTGTGCGGCACACAGAACAAGGAAATTCCATTCGTCTGGCAGGGACTGGCGGCTTACGCACAACCTTATAAAATAGGTTTGTCAGATACGATTACTAACAGATTATTCCCTGCATCAGTATTTTCAATAGTCAATATTGACTACATTAGTCAATAAAAACAGGGTTACACTGTGTGCTATATAAAGAAACTGTATTAGCTAAGAAAGGGAGGGTTATACTGTGTTATATAAAGTATATATGCAGTACCATATTGCATACCCTATATACTAATTACATTCTCATCTTCCACATTAAGCCTACACCTTGAGAAGAACTCAAAAATAAGTTGACTGATAGATGACACACTCAGAAGCTATTAAAAGCGCTTTTAAAATCAGTAGATCTCAGATAACTTTACAAAGGAGATCATAATCACTTTCTCTATTTAAGAAGTGGGGAAATGGGAATTCTACTTCTGAGCAAGATGTAACACCCACTGACATATTTCCCTATACACGTAGGCGTCATTATATCAGGAAATCACCAAGGCATTTTCTAGGTACCTTACTCACTTCATCCTCCCTGAGGAAAATGTGGGAGCCTCGACTAGCTGCAGCAACAGGAAGAGTAACCAAGTCCTCCGAGTTCTAGTGTGCTTTGATCAGGTATGCAACTGTGCCCCCCCAGACACATTCAAAGTAGTATAAAATAAGCATTCAGTGTTTCATTGTTCTTTTTCGAAACCCGGAGTGCAAGAGAATTAGTGCAAGTTCTTCCATACAGCTTGAAAGTATTTGAAAACCAGGTCATTAACACAGCAAGCATCACACCTAATACAGGTGTGAAATTTAAGCACTGCTTAGGGGAACAGCAAGCAAACAATTGCTGCCTTAGGCTTGGGAGGAGGCGGTTTGTAGGGTTCCTTCTGAAAGTCTTTAATCTGTAAGCAAGATTGCGAACAATTTGTTTCAACAGATAAGCATATACTCTGAAACTCTGAACAGTTTGGTGATGAGGATTTCACAAGCTGACCCTTTTCGCTAACCTCCTAAAATACACTTCAGATTTTTTCTTGTAATAAGGTCACTTTTATTCAGGAACCTAAGTTGCAGCACAGTGGCTTATTTTTCAGTACTCTTTCGTAAAAGTTTAAATCAAACAGGTTGAACTCAAACACTTCTATGAAAGCCTAACGCGGCACAGCCTCAGGTATACGTAACTTCGGCATGAGGAGGCGAGGCCTGTGGAACAAGAGCCCGGACACAAGCTCAGCAGCTGAACTCTTGCTACTGGAAGAGACAGCGGGAGCTGCACTTCTGCCCTGGGCGCTGCTCCCTTTCCCTGTGTTCCCCTTATAAAGCAAAATTCCTTCCACCGTGAAAGAAACCCCAGCCTCCGTGGGCTCTTGACGGACACACCTGCTGAGCGTTCAACTTACCTCACCATACTCCACCCTCCAAAGCAAACAAAATAATCAGAAGTGAAAATAATGAGTACACAAACCGAAAGTCCGTATAGCTTCTGTGGTTTGCCATTCCTTTCTCATCTGATCAAGAAATAGCCCTGGTACAGTTGGACTTCAATATCCACATTCCCAGTCCGCGATTAGCTACTTTGAATACTTTATAGCCCTACCATGTGCTCTCACAGGAGTACACCACCACCAAAGGCTTTAACAGACCCACATTGTCCTTTGGTCAGTGTTCATTTATTTAGCATACAGGCACTTAGCACTTCCACCCTTGCAGGGAACATAACATTCCCGGCCACATTTTCCAATAGTCACAGTGAAGCAGTAATCCTAAATGGCCAAGAGCACACACAAGTACTTTTTCCAACTTGTTTCCTACTCTACCCTCTAAAGA